AAAAAAAAAAGATCGTACAGCAAGTTTTAAGAAGTAAATGGAAAATTTTAATCCTCAGGACCATTATGGATTTAGTCATAAACAAAATTTTTCAGTGTTTTTATATACGCGTTTTCCATTTGCCATATGGTGTTAAAATATCTTGGAAAAAAAGAAAACGAATTCAGAATAGTGAAAGCATTTACATTTTAGAATGCGGCTAAAAGTAGACTGTTACATTATCTTTTGTCGACGAAGTTGTAACAGTTTAAAGTATCAACAATTTTTCATTTAAATTAGTCGTAGTACGAAACCAATTCCATGAAAACAATTTATACATAGAATGTGGTAATAGTAACAAGCTCATAAAACTTTTTATTTTTTAAAAGCACATTCCTAAAAACAGTACGTATTTTGCCTTTTCTTGGAAAAAGAAGACAGTAAAAGTATTCGAAACTGATAATATTAATGAACAGATTGTAGTATATTCTTTCTTTCTCACGAAACTGAAGAAGTTTTTCATAAATGTCCTTGATTAATTAAGAACAAATAATTTTGTATCTTCGAGTGATCAGTAAGAGATGAAGTATTCGAAAAGAAACAAAAGACCCAGTTCACGATAGTTCGTCTATTTCTCGCTCACTATCATTCTCTTTCCACAAGAAACATTTTCATTCCTCTTTGTTGATATTTTACCCCAGTGGTGAACGTCGTGAAACATCGATCGTCATAAAGGGATGATACGAGTTCTCCTGCAAAAACCGCACGTCGTACGAACGAGTACGAAATTTTTTTAACAGATACAGTTCGCAAGCATAAGAGTAAATTGTAAAAAGAATTCCTCGCGGTGAAACCTCCCGCCAGCGTTACCAAGCCTTTTGTTATTGACAAGCTCCCGCTGCAAGATGTTTATCAGTATGGTAGAAAAGCCAGTGGCCATTTTTCTCGCGGCTTTTCGCGTGCCACGACGCCAAATCCAGGCCAAATGCTCTGTCGATGGGCAAAGATGAAGGACTTCGAGTAACTGGATCTGAAGTTCAGATCTCCTCTAAATAACAAAGTGAATTTCTCCTGAAATTCGAATGGAATGATCCTTAAATTTTTCCTAAATGCTTTTCGCTGCCGAGTTTCCTCAATACGATCTAGTAAAAATCTGGTAAAAATACTCACCGATCCTGCAGTCTGTCCAACGAGACGAGTTCTGTCAAGCAGAGTTAAACAAGCGCGCTAGGATCAACGCGTGATTTCAGAAGAAGAACCTACAGAACAATGGTAGCAGTTTGTTCCTGAGGATCGATCGAGTGACGCTCCAATGACAGCAACTGTCGGTATAATCGAACGTTTTGTTTATGTCTCGTTTCGTCGGACAGACTATAGCACGCTTTATTACCAACGCTTGGAACCCCATAATTCCAACCCCTGAATTGACTCGTCCCAGACGCGTATCACCCGTCTATAGGTGAAACAAAACGTATACAGGCTAGGATAGGGGAAGCTTGTTCGCTCGTCATTCAGGCCACGATCAGGTAATCGCGATGCGGCCGGTCTTTTGAACCTAAATCATCGACGGTTAAACTCGTAAAATTGGTAACGAGAGATAATGACTATATATACGCGTCAGAAGTTGGAATCAAGACGAACGATAAAATGTTCGAGAGAGAGGTACGTAAGGGCGAGGATCCTCGGACGTTTCTCTGGTGAATCGTCTTATATTTTTTACAGAAGCAAGCCTGGCAAGGTTTCCTAACCACGGGCGTGGCCATTACGGAATGAATTACGTGCACGTGGGGTTGCCGATATCTGTACAATGATTTAAAATGTTCCCCGATAACGTCCGCGGATCAGAAAGTGACCATTCGCCCCTTCACTCAACTATCTCCCCCGATCCCGCTGACTCCTCGGTTTTACCCTCTTGGAAACAAAGCGAGAACTGATAGACCGTTTATGTCGCCATATCGTCCGAGGACACTTAGAAAGGGTGATACTCGAGAATGGCTTGGTTAAAGGGGGACGATAGTCGATGATCCTCGGATCTGATCGGAGAGACAGATATTTCAGATCTCGCATATTTCTTCTTTTTTTTCTTATTCTTTTTTTTTTTCTTTCTTTTTTCCTTTTTCGAACGAATACCGAGCAGAATGGTCTCTCGGCGGTGAATAGGTCCTCTTGAAATTAACGCTTTGAGCCGTAAATTGGGAAACGAAGACTTTAAACTGCATCCGAGCCCCTAATTAGCGGCTAAGTGGATCCTAAACTAGGTTACCCAAAGTTTTACTTTGTACCTTCTCCTTTGTTTCTTTCTTTTCTACTTCTTTTTTTTTTTCTTGAGCGAAGAGGGAGATGTATATGTTATATATATGTCGTTTCGAGGAGACTGCAGGAGACAACAAAATCCATTTATACGGCGGATTCCTTGTTTAAAGCTCCTGAATGGATTCGAATTTGTCACGGATTCATGGAACTTGCGAACAATCAATCGGCCGCAATTGCAAACCCTGTCCGAGTACCCAATACCCGAGGACGCTGGTAACAATTATTTCTGACAGGATCCGCCGGATTCTATCGATGAGCGGAACACTCGGCCAGAGACTGTACAACGTCTGTGTACAACAAATGACTAGACCAGATTACCCTGTCTTTGGCCGTGCCAAGTTCCGCGGCATCGTGCCGCAATTTAGGGTGAATGGTGAAGTTTCAGCTGATAGCCTCGTTTCGCGTCAGCCAGTTCTTAAACAAAGTTCAGCCCTCGCCACAAATACTGTGTGTGGTAGATACGATGTCATTCTGCTCGTCCTAAAAACGCTCAGCATTCTCGCTCCGCTGTTTCCGAGATTATCGTTCCTCAAACGATAGACCGTGCAACTCTATTATACCAGTTATTCTTCTCTCCTTTCTCTCTCTTTCTCTCCGCTAACACTAAACTGGAAGAGAACGGAACGCGTAATTTCGTGTTTGCACCGCTATCGAGCGGCGTAATGAGAGCAGAACACGGAGAGCCACGTTCGAAATTGTTTCAATTAGATTTTTACGATGCCGTGACTCGAGCCTCAAACGACTCTTCCTGGTGTTCCTCGACTAACAACCAAGTGTTTCAAAGCGAAACTGGCGAATCATCCTCTAC